CTGCAAACGCAACACGTAACCTTGGGGATTTTTAAAATGTCCTGAACTAGCAGTTTTCCGAATCAATAACAAAAAGGAGAAAAAGTTTTATGGCAGACGGAAATGTACTTTTGAATGTACAAAAATACATCATATTTCTATTCCTCAGATATCTATCTAGAATAGCATATTTTCTTATTGGTTGAATGAACCATTACCACTAAACTTATGCTCGTTCTACAGTACATTCTCCATTCTAGACCGGACTATAATCCACTACCAACCGGCTACTGAACATTATTACCTTTAATGGTATTATCATAAGCATCATTCAGATGCAGAAATTATTTTGTTCTGAAATATTGTTTTGAGAGTGGGTCTGTTAAAATATCATATCATTCAAGTTATACGATGTAAGCTTCTTTGAAATGATTTTCTCACGAGACTCAATATACTTATAGGCTATATTTTAACCACTAATCTTTTCAGTATTAAGTCAGACTATATAATCACTGAGAATTCACCTAAATTCTGAAAAAACTGGTTATTACAACGCTTACAGACAAAACAAACATGCATAGTGAACTATGTGCGACTTTCATCATCTACTTTACGAAAGTAAACTTGTCTCTATCGATGTATTTGCTCAAAACAATGACAACGATCCAACATATTATTATTATTACTATTATTTATCCCTTGGGTTTCTAATGGAACATAGGGATTCAGTAGTATGTCGCCATTTCACTGTGCCCTCTGCAGTCTTTTAAACCTGACTCCACAACTGCCCATAACCTTCCATTTCTTCCTCACACCATCAATCCTATGTCACCCTTGGACGCACAACTAGTCGTTTCCCCATTGGACTCCACTAGAGGGACTGATCTGGCGCGTGATGTTCCCAATCAGTCTTCTCTACACTGGTTTCAGGTTAATGAGTGAAGGCCTGTCTTGCTGTATTTCCGATCCTGGCTGCTTTGACATCCTCATTTGTGCCTGTGCCACGGCCTGTAGTTGAAACGATGCTGCCTAAGTACGTGGGTAGGTGGAAGAGACTACTTCGTTTAGGTTTCCCCGTTCATGGTGATTGGTACTTGTTATTGATGTTGCTGTTGGTTGGGTATCTTTATCACCTCTGTCTTCTCTACGTTCACCTGAAGGAAGTCGCGAATTCCTTCTCCACCCTACCTCACCTCTTCTGTCAACTTGTTGGTTTTCACCTGTACATCGTCGAGTTTGTTCCACAAGACATTAGACATTATTCATCATCATCGACGAAATCCAAGTCTTCTAGGCTCTTTTTATCGGTCCAGCGTATGCCTCTTTTGATCCCCCACATATGATCATAGTGACCTTGTGCATATGGTTATTTTCCTTAAAATCTCCACAAATAAGTTATAATTAAACTTCATTAGTACGATGATAATTTCACAGTGCATAATAGGAAAGGAAAGTCGTTTTATTACAATTACTTTTCTTACTTGGGTTTTGAAATCCTAGGAAGAGAAATTGTTATTATTACCATTATTATTACTGCTATTTAAGAATGTAATTTCAGGTACAATGATATTGTTGAAAGGCTCCTACTACTCATTAGAGCATGAGTAGAATAAATGAGCAATGTAACATCATTTCATAAGGATAAAAATTAATTGTTACATATAACTGCAAAGTGAAGTGTAGATCAGTGTAGTGGGCCGTAAACAACACTTGTAACGTACATACTAATGATAATTGTGGATACCTGAAAGTAGTTAGAGGGGATTTGAACTTCTAGTTCAAGTGGTTTTAGTTCAACCCGTAAATCATTTGTCTTTAGCCGCAAATGAAGTAGAATATCTATAAATTAGGCAGTGTCAGCTCATTTAGCTCACTGAATAAGTATAAATACACCTACATAGTTGAATATATATCGATACAATGTTTTACTGAACAATCTGAATGAATAAGCAATATGTTATAATCGAAAGAAGTGATGAAAAACTGTAATCTAGGATAAGGGTATTGAGCTATTAGTTTTCATCAATTCGAGAGGAAGGAAGACTGATAGTCAAATGGTTGTAAATGTTTCATTTCGCTTTCGGTTAGTCATCGATGTGCGTAAGGTACAGGGAGTGCAATCACATTCAGATACACAGAGGTGCAGAAAGTCAGAACTGTGTGATATTCTCAGTCATATATTTTGCACCTATCAATCGAAGCAAACGTATGAACTTATTTGTCACTATAAAAAGTCGAAGACGAGGATATTGGTTGCTTTCAATATGATCCAAATAGGATGGATTTATTTGGAATCACAGAACACTAGTTATGCTGTAATGTATAACTATATTCTTCCCAAGAAATGTATTAAAATACAGGTGGGGCAACAATTATTTGATGAGACTGGATATCCCAATAACTATTCTGAAGGATCATATCGAAAAATTGATGTCTTAATTGTTTTCTTGTGCAAAACGTTAAACATATGGTACTGAACAGAATTCCGATAATTTGAAGGTATTTCTAATCCTTATGTGAAAATAGGCTAAGCATTGAAATCATTTCTTATATAAGCTTCACCTACTTGATTTATTATACATCCCAGTTACCAGACATCAGCTCAATATGCCAATGAGATATTTGAACCAATCTCTTAGAGATGTAAGGCTTGTTTAGCCCAACTTTATTTAACTGATAAATACCAGGCGGGGAGAAATACACATCATAAAGTCTCACTTCTGTCAACATGTACCTTTTGGTTTGATTTTGTGTACACAGAGAATATTTTTATAGAAACGAAATTCCCTTTCATACTAGGATGTATTATTTCCCACTGCTGATTAGTATGGATTTAATTTTTCGACTTCAGTTAGTATCTGGGTTTCTGTGTATATGCCTCAATATAACTGACAATTTTATTTTGATACTAAGGGTGAATAGTGACTTGTGGTGTGTTTCTTCGCAATTGGGACTCATCGGCTGGATGGAAATAAGTAGTCATAATATTAAAATATACTCGCTGCACAAGAAGTGGCTATTATAACTTGGTGGCTTAGAAGCTAATGCTCTCTTATTTGAAGAAAAGGGTGTTAAGTTGCTTTCTCCGTGACACCACCACAACTCAGTGGGATACAAGTATATTCGGGTGCTAAGCCTTAAGAAGGATGAAACGCGTGTCGTGAATTTCATTGCTAATCATTATCCTTCTCCAATATCATGGTCCACTTTCTCCCAAATCTTTCTCACCAAAGAAAATACCAGACTTAAAGAGAATATTCAGTGTCACTTTCTGATTGATATGGAAGAAAATAACTTTGATTATTTACTATAGACTGGACGTATATCTAATTTAATTAAGTATTTGTGTACATCATCAAATTTTATTCGCTAACCACTTCTAGCTCCCTTGATGAGTACCTTTCAGATTTGAGTAAATATCATATGGTGGATTTATTTTATTCGTAAAACAAAAGAATGACTGCTGATGTAGTAAAACTGTAAAACAGATGTTTGGCATCAAAACACAATGCATCATTGTATTGTACCATTTAGCTTGGTAGTAATATAGAACATTTGCTGAATAGCCTTCAGTCACTAGTTATTGCTCAACGGTCATATTGGTTATGGTCAAGTAGTCTGAATCATACCGTTGTCAACGCTATGCTTAGATAACCTTGTTACAAGACGAGATAAAAACGTCGAGAAGTTTAAGTTGCTCCCTAGAATTAAGACCAGAAGAAGTAAACAAATCAAGTTTATGCCTTTTCTTCAGAATACCTTTCAACCACTGTGTAGTTTTCATTTGCTTAAAGGCTGACTTGACTCAATGAAAACAATACCTGAGATGTAAACTTCGATAAGTAACTATATCAGTGTGTAACATCTTGAATAAACAAAGAACCGACCTGAACACATTTGAACTTCAACTGCGTACAAGAAAAGAACAAACTAATCACTGACTAGATACTATTAAAAACAGAAAGAATGTACTAACTTTTCTGCATACTTTGACATTTTCAAATTTGTATTTCCTAAAAATGGATAATAAAAGAAGAAGTTCCTAATAACTGAACAACAGACATGGATAAACAAGCTTTTAGTATTAAATGCCATTCACTGAATCTAAAATCTAGTCCAGAACAGACGATTATAAGTGTAATCGACATAGGCTACAAAAAGGTATATCCTACACTTCTCTTTTCACTCATTCCCTTTCTTTAGCTATCTCTCTTTCCTATATATTTCTATTTATTTATGTCCAATTAAAACACAGTATTTGCTAAATCGAATATATTCAATATACAAGATCTAGTATTTGGAGGAAAAGTAACAGATGTTTTTTATCATTTCGATCGTCTGCACCAGTTCTTTGGAACTCTTTCCATTTTCTCGTTCACTTTTATGTTTTACGAAAAAAAATGTGGAGGAGATTGAATTTCCTTGTATTACATCGATATAACATTTACTTATTCATCAACAAAGGCATTGAAAATTCCACTTTTTGTCTCTTTCCTTCTCTCTCTTGCCAGTACCTATTCCTTTCTTAAGAAAAATGATAAATTTGGATTTTATTCCAATTTTTAGACATTACTAAATTATTATTACGATTATCGGGACTTTGTTTAACTTTTTCCCTCCATTTGGAAAGGGCTTCATTCATCTTGCTATTGATTTTAATTTACAGAATTTCGGTTGCGTTCGATCAACATGTCATGTTGTGCGTGCATATGAGTGAATGTATAGTAGTCGATATTGCAATCAGTGTGCTAATGTAGTCCTACTGTGTATTGATACATCTGCACATTGATGTCCGTAAATACATTTTGCTTCATCTAGCATTATTATCACTGACTGCTGCCGTACGCATGCACATACAAGTAAGTGTACACAGAGAAGAAAGGGGGAAATATAGTTGTGTGTTAGATGAAGTTGGTGCATGATACAAGTAGAGGATATCAATCCCAATGGCTATTTTCTTTATCCCCTGTTAAAAGATACGAAGATTGTGACCCAAACATGTATGTTTGTGTGATATATTCAAAGCAAAAGCTAGGCTGGTTTCGATTAACGAATTCATAACTACAAAAATATCAGTTAGCTGACTGGACAAATAGCCATCCTCAACATCAACAGCAACAGCAGCACTCTTAACTGCATAACATTGTATTTGATATCTATCAATCCATACATGAAGTATACTCAATAAAACAATCTATCCAGTGTTAAATGTCCAATGTATCACATTACGCGTCATTCAGTTAGGACATTGATCTTTTTAATATGTATATTATACTGTGTTCAAGGTGAGTTTATAATTCCTTCTGTTTTTAAAAGAATAAAATAAATGAATGGAAATAATTTTTGTGAATCACTTCTTAAAATATTTTACTATGATGTACTGCTAAACTGTAAAATGTTAAGAGATAACTCCCTTAACAATACAGTCAGAATAGAACCAACATAATTTAATCTTTTCATTGTATATTATTAGTTCGTATATTGTTTTGAATTGTTAAGTAGCATATAAACGAACCTTTTTACTAAGGTCATAGAAGCGTTTTCGTATAGACTGAATGTTGAATAAAAAAAGAATAGGGTAGAATTGTTTAACCAAATCAATCTCACCACTAGAATCTAGGTGGTATAATCCTAAAAAACGTTGTTGACGCTGATGCAGATGAAGAAGAGATCATATAGAAAGGATTAAGGCATAGTATTAAAATATGAACAATTTATACAGAAAAAAACATTCCAAACCACTATGGTAATGAAAGAATGACATTTTTATTCTATAAAATCAACAAATTTAAAGTTGACTAATTGTGGCAGTCAGTTTAATTCATTTCAATGAGAAGTACCGATGCACTGACAGTGATATCTAGCATGACATCAATATTTTCACTAAAAAAACTGCAATTCAGAACAACTTGATCTGAACAGTGAAAACCACGTAATATACTGTAATGTGTGACGATTAAAGATATTAGAAAAATAATTATACTCTTCAAAGAACTTTTTTGAATGAACACAACCAATATTGTTGGTGCTTCAACTCTTATCTGAAAATGCAAGTATTGTTCTGCCGATCTACTCCTTTCACTGACATACTCCCTCAAGCCAGAACATTAAAAATGCCGAATACAACTGAAGATGTTTAAAGTTTATCTTTGTTTACAGCAAGAAAAAACCCTTTTAATATAGTATGATTCAATTTCAACTGTAAAATTAATATTCCAGTTGGGCTGTTCAAAATATAACTGAGGCTAATTTTCATAAGCTTTTCGTTGTTAATTTTATAGATAAGAACTCAGTAGTAAGAATGTAGATTGAATAAGTACTGTATCTGTTAACCAGTACATTAGTGAATCTACTTAGCAAATTGTAAACTTTGTAAACAATTCATTACCAAACATTTAGGTTTATCATATGTAGTGAGACTTATTGAAGTTATCCTATAAACACGAAGGTGTTTCATACATATAAGGATACTGAATAACTGTGAAGGATTATCTTGACCACAAGAGTATCCAACCCAATCGCCTGTTCATGGTCAGTATATTGGTTCAGCAGCCTGGCTACGAAACTCCACTGGTAGGAAGATTTCATTTAAACTATACATTGAAAGCTGAATTCATAAAGTATTTCTGTAACGCACTATGCAATGTAATAATACAATAATGACAACCTCCACAAAACTATAAATGTAACTCTATCAGTAGATAGGGAAAGTGGCTCGGTGAAATGATCAGCATCTAATGACCCAGCTATACACATGCTGCTGACATAATTCACTTGGTAACAACTCTGACAGTGATACAGAGAGATAATTAGTATCTTACATTTACTTCTTATAATGGATAAGTAAGAAAACTAATTACAAGAACTTGCGGTGATGTTTCTCAAGAGGTCTGGTATCATGAAAAAACTTCTGCCGTTGAGTAAATATACTGATTCGGCTGAAATAAAGATTATGAATTCGTCTGTATTTAGCTGATTGAAATATAAACTGTTCCACGCTCAGTGTGATCAGAAGATGGTGTATTCGTAGGTGTATAATTTAGTTTCTGTTGGTTAGAAAAGTTATCGCTTATTTATTAACTATCATGCCAAGTAATTCACAATGGGAAGCTCAGTGATGCTTTTGAAGTGAAGACAGGAGTGAAACAAGGTTGCCTACTATCACCCATGATATTCCTGATTGTGGTCGACTCGACTGGATCATGCAGCAAACAGTGAGGAGCGAGAAGAGGGGGATACGCTGGACTGCGGAAAACAACCTAGAAGATCTGGATTTCGCCAGTGATGACTTGTGTTTAATGTCACACAAACTTGAAGATCTACAGGTGAAAACTAACAAGTTGGCAGAAGAGGCAGGGCAGCTAAGACGGGACTTCAAGTGAATATAGAGAAGACAGAGGTGATGAAGATACCGCACCAACAACTCCAACAACAACAACAAACTACAGTCACCATCAACAGGAGAAACTTAAAGGAAGTAACCTCCTTCACCTATCTAGGAAGCACTGTTTCAACTACAGGCGGGACGGATGAGGACGTCAAAGTCAGAATCGGAAAAGCAAGACAGGCGTTCATTAGCCTGAAACCAGTGTGGAGATCTTCTGCACTCCACTCAGCATGTGGAATAAGATACGGATTTTCAACACCAACGTCAAGTCAGTGCTCTTGTATGGTTCAGAGACTTGGCGCGTCACGAAAGGCATTTCCAATAAACTACAGACATTCATCAACAACTGCTTACGCTCACTACTAAAGATCAGATGGCCAGAAAGAATAAACAACAAGGAGCTCTGGGAATGAACCAACCAAGAACCTATCAGGCAACAAATATGCAGAAGGAAGTGGAGATGGATTGGTCATGCACTAAGAAGGCCGACTGAGGACATCACGCGTCAGGCCGTCGAGTGGAATCCTCAGGGGAAGCGACGAGTTGTACGTCCGAGGAGGAAATGAGAGCTTGTGGGCTGTCGTGGAACCAGGTTCAAAAGATCTCAGAGAACAGAGTTCACTGGAGACGTGCTACTGAAGCCCTATGTTCCATTAGGAACCAAAGGGACTAATAATAATAATAATTATTATTATAAGAGTAAAACTTGTAATTCCATTTTAGTCTGTTTATTAGAAATATCACACAGTGAAACAGTAGTATTTACAGACTAAAAGGGAGTTAGTTACCCAATATGAATATGGACAATAAATTGTGTCCGAAACATTATCCAGTAAATGCTACTGTTTCACTGTGTGGTATTTCTAACAAACAGACTAAAATGGTATTAACTATCATATTTCGTATCAGTACATCCTCAGTTCAATTACTTATTCATACACATAGGTTACATCGTTACATACACAAAATATAAGTGAATGTTTAGTTAAGTTTAAGGGGAACTCAACAGTTAGCTGCTTCTGAATTTCTTATATAGATAGATAGTTGAACGGGAACATAAATCAAATCAGTTATTCTCGATTGATTGTTAACATATTTCCAAACTATCAAATGTTAACAGTGTACAGAAGTGGATTTAAAATGAAGACGTAATTGTTGATCTTCTTTTAATATGATAGCAATGTTCTTTTTGTCATAATAAATTAATTTACACAAAATTCAGTTGCGAAAAACTTTTCATTATGGGTGGATGTGAATCACTTGCTTCCTGGTTAACAAATGAGTTTACAAACGACTGAACTACAATCTTGTCATGAATTGTATTAATGAATATCAATCAACTACTGCTTCAAAGAGTGATCATTCAACTTGGTTATATGAATAAATGACCTGACTGATCTGTTATTTCAGCATAAGACTATCACTTCAGTAGGTTATATTTACACGAAGACAGTCGGACATTACGCTTATTGATTGAAGTAAATATGCTTATTAGCCAAGTCATATAGCTCTTATTCTAGATCTCCAGAGACAATGGGTTTAGTGCCAAAGTAAGCAGGATTCACATTCACCTCTAGCTATACATTATAAATATGACAACTGTTAGATACTCTAAATGTTAAATGAGAAAATTTAAAATATTATTAATGCGTACGTTAATTGATCACTGAAGGGTAACCAACTTCATGTTGTCTAGTTCTAACAGCTAATCGAGTTCTATAGATCGTTTTACAATGTGGCCACCAGACTAGGCAGATCAGTATCGTGATGCACTGAGACAGATGTTAATTGGATGGGCTTTCTGAGGATTACCTTAATCCAATTAACATAATTCATATATTTGCACAGTTTAAATGGATAACTAATGATTCGTTTATAATTTAATTCGCTTGATCATCGTTTCGGTAAGACAGTCTTCCTATATGAAGAAAAATTATAGTTTGATTTCCGTTCATACATCTCAGAGTTCACTAAACACATGGTCTACAGTAACGCATAATATTATTCAAATAAATTCATCATTATGTTCAGGTTGGTGACTAGCAGAGGAATCCAGGATAAGCGTTTCATCCCACTTGGGACTCATCAGTTAGATCCACCTGCACCTCGGTGGGTGACGCTTTTCTCACTGAGACTTGAACCCTGATAACCATCGCTTTAAACTCCAAAGAATTATCCACTAAGCCGCTGGAGCATTATAGCTAGGTGACTGAAAAATACGTTCCCGCATACTTTAACGGAACGAAAGTCGAGGCATCCATAGAGGTCGAACAATTCAGTCCTGTATAGATTCACCATTACTTTAATTCCACAGTCCTTAAAGTAATTTACAGGTTTAAAAAAGCAACGAAAAGTGTATGACACTTAAATACCAGTTCACTTCTATTGCAAACGAAAGAAGGTTAATGCATTTACAATCAAAAGTTATACTTTGTTTATTTACTTTGCTTTACCTATGCAGAGTAAACTGTATTACATAACATACATTGAATGAATACTTGCCATAATATACATACTGTTAGTACTTTAATCAAGTGATGAATGAGTAAGGATTAGTAAATAAGCTTGTTGGTTAGTCTGAGTATCAGACAGTTTGCATGGCTATTTAAAACAACTAAACAAATTGACAACGGCAATAATATACCTTTGCAATAAGTGAACTTAGCTTTCATTGAATTGTTATTGATACATTAAGCACTGAACTTTTCTAATTTGTTGTTCAGTGATTATTAGTAGGTTATTTCGGGCAATTTAAAATCCTCTACCATGAGTTTCTCAAAGTTTTTCCAGAATACTCTGCTTTTTTTTCTAGACTAGAAAAAAGACCTGTCTTTCTACTATTTTCTTTACTAAAAAGTAGTTGTTAATTTCAACCTGAAAGTCTCCTTACATTTTTACAGTAAGAGATCTATGGACTGATATCAGTTAGAAAACCATTGAAAATCTGAGAGAATTGGACAGGTGTTTTATCCTAGTATGGGATGTCTTAACACCTATGGTCCCACCAAGGATCAAACCCAGGACCTTCAGCTTCCACATTCAGCACGTTGTAAATGAGTCACTGGGTCTGGATCCAATGATCCACCTTTTCTATTTCTGTGAATTCACAATACAGCGCGACTTCCATCTAATGCCATCGTTGAGTAACTGTCTTGATATCTCAATTGGTTAGCTCCACCGGTCATGACTTCTCATTAGAATTTCGGGAATTTCATCACAAAACAAATTAATAATGACCACTAGATTAATTCTATTTAGAAGGTTTTGGTTTCAGACTGGCATTTCTCACAGACTGACATCAATCAGAGAACTATTGTTCCAATGCCTCAAGGTTTTTTCAATGGTCTGTGATGAACACCAACCTGACTCAATCAATGAATCCCCATAAACCTTCATAAGTGAGATCTATATTTTGCTTATCAATAACCTAGTAGACAGGGTAATTACAAATTAGTTCAGTAGGCTAAACATTCCCTCCAATTTTGTAATTCTTTAGTAAGATAAACTCTAAATACTTTCAAAATTAAAACAGAAACACCAATCCTAATTTCAATAGCAAGTACGTGAACACAGTAGTCATTAAAAAAGTTTCTCATTTCTAACATTTTAAACATTTAATAACCTATGAGGTTATAGGAATGACCTGCGTTGAAACTTCTGTGAAATCTTTTTTTTTGCATGGTCTTGTGAGTTAATGTTATTACTTTGAAACTGTATGACTGCATATCTTATCCAATGAGGATTTGTTCACAGCTACTTGTTTCTACATGTTTCGAAAACAATCATAGGCTCTCTTACCATTTATTATAGGTTCTTTGGAAGTATGTAGAATATTTCCAAAGTTTAGTGAATTTTCAATTCAGCATTCTTTGATCAAAAAGTTCTACCTTGAATAAATCAGTAGTTTACTATTAAGATTATCAGAGTTTAATAAATGTTATCAATAAACTCTTAGTATGACTTAATAAAGTAGGTCTAATGAATCGAATATAACACGTTACATGAAAGTTACCGAAAAAATTTCAATGTTTATTGTGATTTACATCTGATGAAGAGTTTTTTTTATGTTTTTGTTGAATGTGAACAAGTAATATACTTTAACCTTAAAGAATGGTTCATTAAAAAAGTACTCTATTCGCATGTTGTTATAAATTCATTGGTGATGATTTTTATCCTTGCTATACATTAACAGGTGAACGTGTTCGACGATTAAAACGTCAGGCTGAAGATGCTCCTAGTTCTGGGGTAAGTTGTTTTTAGTTCTTGAATTATCTAGTTATTTAACCTTATATTTATTTTGAAGCAACTTACGATGAAATTCGTAGCTGGACTTATTCATATCCATACTACATATATGATGGAATTGGAATTTGCCATGGGGTTCATATTTACTGAGCTACTCAGTTATTTATTTCTTCTACAGCCAATATTTCTTTTCACTACAACCTATTAGTCTTTCTCATCTAGATATAGTTATTATCAAGCCATTGGTGTATTCTCCTACCAGGATGTTTACAAACTGATCATATCATTTGTAGTAATACGGTTCATCCAATTCAGCTGACTAGATTCAGTTAACATGAAACTCCAGGTCTGTGAACTGAAGTTTTTCAGATACATCACTCTTGAATGTTGAATCCAAACGTGCGAAATTTTCGTCCTTTATTTAGCTCATTCTAACTGGTGAAATTCGCAGATCATCGTGAGTGGTTCGTAACTACTCATGTTTCTCAGTAGTATATTGCATTGCAGTCTGATCATAAGGAAATAGGCAGTGTTTGAAAATGGAAACAATCGTTTGGTTCATTACATACCGGCCGAAACACCTTTTAAGCCATGTTAGGCGGTTCACTATCCAAAGCGATGCCCTATTCGGGTGTTTCTGGTAATGTTATGTCTTCATAAAGAATATGTTTTCAAGACATCAATCATACTTTTATCTGACATGAATACATGTACTCAACATTGATCGAAAAATATAGGTCTTCTGACTGAATTGTGAAAAGAATAAACGGAACTTCTCAAACCATTTATATAAACCAAGTATAACACTACCCAGAATAATCAGAAGTTACAGAAGTTTGGTAGCCTATCTAACACAGTGGAGAATAATAAATGGTGGGAAGTTTTGAGAAGACTTATAGATCGATGCATACTAGTGTATGGTGAACAGGTGACGACTATTCATGTCAACAGTAGACATAATACATAATTGAAAGTAAAAGTGACTGTCCGTTATTCAAGTTGGTATTCATCATGGACTGACATCAGTTGGATAACCATTGGAAACCTGGGAGAACTGGACACCTGTTTTGTCCTAGTACAAGACTCTTCAGCAGTGCGCACCCACGACCCCACCATAGATCGAACCCGCAACTTTCAGCTTCCGTGGCCAGCACGTTACCGTTGAGCCACTATGTCGAAATTCACTGGCCTATATTTTCAACTTCTGAAGGTCGCGGGTGCGTATTGCCGAAGCGTTTTATACTAGGACAAAACAGCTGCTCAGTGCTCCCAGGTTGCCAATGTTCCCCCAACTGATGTCAATCCATGATGAATATCAACTTGAATCCCCACAAACCCCCAAATTTGATTATCAATTAGTTGTTTTGTTGATTGAGAAATAGGACAGATAGTTCAACAAAAGAGATTTTTCAACGAATTTATTATCAAAAGCTGTCGAATCTTATGAATATTAGGTTCTTCTGTATTGAATCACTGTTTGTACTTTCGTTTGTTACAATACTATAATGAGTTCCTAAGCTGATAGAGCTTCGGACCGATAATCTAGGAGCCACTAGTTCAGATATTGTCATAAGTCAGATTTTCAGTCATCAACTTGTATCGTTAATGCCTTGCGTTTATAAAGTCGAATAAGATTTGAAAAGTCTGAAAAATATATGAAAATATACGCGAGCTTAAGTAGGTGTTTGTCAAACTAAAGTGTTATTCATTCATGGTAGCTTTAAGCAACAATACTGTAATCTCCTCAAGCATGTATATAGTGATTTAAGGATAAAAAATATTAGTATTTATGTGATTGTACAACTCATGTAGATGAATACACTGAAAAGGGTTTCTTTCGCTAAACTATATGCTTAGTCTCAGATTCATCAACTTATCGCTCTACAGACTGAGGTGCGAGACCAAAATGAGAATCATGTCTCACTGACATTTTAGCTACCATATATTTTGCTCCACCAGATATCACCGACAACTTAGTAACAAAAATATAGATAGTTAATTGCTTGGTTTCCGCATTAAACTTAGTTTCTGATCACCATGTCACTATCTCATGAGATATAACTCAACTTTCTACTTGTTCACATATGGAGTGAAAAGAATATTTGCTAGCACGAACTACAAGTTGGTAGAACGGCTAGTTTAATGACATTTTAAGGAACTAAATCGTCATCATCAATGTATACATATATATATATATATATATATATATATATACATATATATATATACAATATATATATATATATATATATATATATGATTCTACAACAGGATTTTGTACTGCTATGAAAGGAAACGAGAAGATAGACATGAAGGAAAAAATGTTTATTACTAACTTGCTGAACAGTAGTCCTTAAATATGGTACACTTTGCACCAAGACATTCATTTGCACAATGTCCTTCATTTCATCTTCTGCTTCTCTCTTGATTTGTTCCTAATACGTCTACATTGTCTCTTGCGTTTCTCTCGACAGAATCCCTACCCATTACTAGTAATTCTTTATGACTTCTGCCGTCCTCTCAACATATACTACTTATACTATCAGCAACACCCACTATACTATAACTGAAATTCATAATTCTTACTAATTTGAACAAGAATTATTATTCACATATTCACACAATCCAGCTATTTTAAGTTGATAGAAGTAAGAAATATGGACGTTTGGATTTCACTCCAGTAGCTCAATGGTGATGTGCTGGCTGTGGAACCTAGAGGTCCTGGGTTCCACCCCTGGCGGGATCCTGAGTGCACGCTGCTGAGTAGTCTTATACTAAGACAAAACAGCTTTCCAGTGCTCTCAGACTTCCGATTTTCCTCCAAACGATGTCAATCCATGGTGAAATTAAACTTAAATTCCTTGAAAAATTCATCAGCACATCAGTCAACTTTAGTTTCTCAACGATAAAAGTCGGTATTTACAGTAACACTTTAAAACCATATAACTGTAGCGTCAGGGATGACACTAAAAGCAACTCTAACAACGACTGAGGTAGCCAATTACATTTATTAATTTTGTCTAGAAAAACAGATTTTTTGCAAAACATAGATGTCTGATTATTTCAATTGTTGTCAGGATAGACTTCAAAGTCACTCTAGTATACCAGTCACAGTAGTATAGTGCAGTGATAACCAGTATGAATGTCATGACTCATTCACACGAGTACGTCATGTGAACTAGGTCTGAAGTTGTTTTGAAGACTACCCTAGCAACTGCCGAAATAAACAACCACATTTCTGTGTATCGTCGTGACCACAATTTCAAAAATAAAAAAGCTTAATTGCCTATTTCATCAGTTGTTAGGATGGTCATTAAAGTTATCCCTAATTTGGCTTCGAGATGAAGAGTTCTATTCAAGCCCATTTACTATACATTTCTCTATATATGTTTATACGCCATACAGTTGTATTCTGACATTGTGTGTAATGATGGTTGACTGGTTGATGGGACCCTACAATAAAAACTAATTATGGATAGAACGTGTTTCTTGCACGAATGACGAGTATAAAAATAGATTTCACTACCTTTCATTTATGTACTTACTTTAAAATATTTAAAACAATGAGATTTCTATGAAAATGTATCCCACCAAAACCATTTTATTCTAATTTAGACCAAAGGTCCAGCACCATTTGGAGTAACAACCTACAGAGTTGGAGCAATGGGAGTTCAAGGAGAACGTGGACCTCCTGGACCACCCGGTCCAGACGGTCCACCAGGTCCAATGGGTTCGGCAGGACCACCAGGAAAACCAGGAGGACCAGGAATTCCTGGACCTGTTGGTGTTCCTGGACCTCCAGGAGCAGACGGAAAACCAGGTCGAGATGGAGAGGCTGGAAACCCAGGTCCTTCCGGAGAAGTCGGTCCTCCAGGTCCATCCGGACCCACAGGACCACCTGGATTGAAAGGGCCTATCGGATTGAAAGGTAAAAAGAGTGAGAGAGGTGATCCTGGAAGAGATGGTCCAGAGGTAAGCATAAGTTAACCCTTCCTTTTTATTTAGCTTGCTTCCTGAGAATTCGTTTACAATCTTACTAAAATATCCATTACGACAACAAACGGTTGCTAATTAACACCTTTGTTCGAGTGATATCAAATTCTTAGTAAATTATCAAAAAGGCCGGAGATAATTTTATTTGATATGCAGATGTACCATGTAATGAATGAAAGTTTAATTAAGCTACTCTGAGTACCTCCGTCTTAAGTTATGGTATGGTAGATGTGTGGGAATACCAAAAGTTATGCTCACAAACAAGTGAAAGTTGATTAATTCACCTGAATACAATCAAGTAATAGTAGAATAAAGTCTATTTTCTTCAGAATTAAGTCACAAATGGTAGATACTTGGAAAAAACAACATTTCAACATTTTTACTGCTAGTGTCACAGCACTTAACTTACCATGCAGCTAAGTGAAATTGGTTCACTAACTAAATACCACTAATACGAATTCAGATCCTCTTACTACCACAGTTACCTTAATGTGGTGATTCTAACCGCCAGTTTATGATAATGCACTTCAGTCGTTTCTGGTTGAGATATTTACTTACCTATTTTGACCCTGACATATCACTAAAGTCGATATCTCCGAATAATCTACTCAGTGCATGCCCAATCCGTCTCCACTTCCTTCTGCATATTTGTCGAGAGATAGGTTCTTGGCTGGATCTTCGCCAACCAGAGTTTCTTGTTGATTATTCTTTCTAGCCATCTGAGCTTCAGTAACGTTTGTTGTTGTTGATGAATATCTGTAGTTTGTTAAGGTCGATATGGGTGTAACAAGACTGAAATAAGTTGACTTCATAGTATGGAAAACAATTATTTCACGTTTGATGGGGAATTCCTAATGCTGATTGTACCAGAATCTGATTTCTTTGTTTTCAAACAGTAAGCAACATGTCTACTTATTCTATCTTCCCATGAATAATATGGAGTTCGAAGATGCTGGTTTTTAAAGTAGAGAGATGCACGAAGTAAAGAGGGAACTTGACTTCCAGCCAATACCAAATCTGTTACCTCTGAATTAGTACTGCGAAGAAGTTTAAATTGGATATTAAAAAACATTATTCTTTACGCCGAGTTACAGTATAACAACTCCGATTAGTGGCTTCGCATACTTTTTCAAAAGTTTCAACACAAAATGAACAAGTGAATAAAACGTTAATCGCTTTAGTTTAGTGCCAATATGATAGAATTATATACAAATCACCTTGACTCAAAATGGCTGAATCATTGTTGAAAGCATAAGAAATGAGAGATTTTTAAGGTCTTAAGATACTAATCTCTAATTATTATAATGACATTTTTATCTTTTTGCCACAGTAATACAGTCAATTTTCAATATTAAGTATTTATCATTATGTACTATAGAAAAATCTAATACAATATTCATTGCCTGTATTTTAATAAGGGTGCTCGTGGAGATTTAGGTGCTCCTGGATTGATGGGACGAACTGGAGCTCGAGGAGGTATGGGACCAGTTGGTCCACCAGGAACACCTGGACAAGTTGGTCCTGCTGGAGCAGATGGTCTTCCAGGAGTTCAAGGCCCACCAGGTCCACAAGGTTTACCTGGAGAACCAGGTGCAATTGGTCCGACTGGTGATCGAGGAGAAGTTGGTGAAGTTGGAATACGTGGAGGCATTGGCGAGCCTGGCAAACCTGGGCTTGATGGAAAACCAGGTAGACCTGGGGAACAAGGAATTCAGGTAGGAAAATATAAGTCCCGATTTCACTAACTTCCAAATATTATCCTTATCTTTCTTAATAAAGTATCTATTTTCTTCTCTACTCACAGTTTCAATTCCTTTAGTTTGATCCTAATGCGTATAATTTATTTTTTATAATAAAACTTATGGAACATTTTTGTTTAAATTCATCCCGGTAACTAACTGTAATACATAGTTTAAGTAGTCAGACTGTATAATATGAATCTCCAAAGTGTATCACTTAGGACAACGACGATAAAAGAATGTATTATTAAAATTGTTCCAGCATGATAGTCTGGTTGATAATTTACAGACGTGGACATGGCACAAAGTGGAATAAAATGATATGACACCTATTACATGAACGACTAGATCTTATGAACTTAGACAAGATAATTTCAAGTCAGGACTTTGTGCATCTAAATACAAAGAACACACTTGCATCGATCCAAATTAAGTAGGTGGATAGTTCTATGACCTACCATCTGCCATTTGTGCAATACATTTCCTTCTTATTAAAATACTTTAAACGTACCAGTGATCAACATTTCTAGCGTATCCAGTCCCTATGATCAACTACTGAATGACTTTCAATGACTTTTTAATTAAAGATAGTTTGTGATCAAAAGTGTTCTCATCTGATTTAATTTTGTGTTTAGAAATACAATAATCTCCACTTTTAACTAAAGTAAATGTCACTCTAACATAAAACGTTTGTTATAACGCCTTTTTACCTTAAATACCTATTATATTTTTTTCGAAAACAACAGTCTGCTAATTTTTTGCATTTAAAAGGGTCCACCCGGGAAAGATGGTATACAAGGGCAGAAAGGTGATATAGGCTTCCGAGGACCACTTGGACCAGAAGGTATGCCAGGACCTCGAGGAGCACCTGGCGCATCGGGTTCACAAGGTGAACAAGGAAGCAAAGGGTCTGTTGGTGTTTCTGGGCCACCAGGAAATCGTGGACCTCAAGGAAATTCTGGCCCACCAGGTGTTATAGGCCCTCGTGGCTTACCAGGTAGCATATTATATCTTGTAATGTAAATTTTACCATAACGTTAAATTGGAATAAGTTAAATCATTTTTAATTGCATCAAAATATGGTGGAGATTTTGAAACTAAAGACAATGTTCCAATTCTCACTAGGACCTGTTGGAGAAATTGGAAAACCAGGCATCCCAGGTTCTCAAGGCCCACCTGGTGCCAAAGGGTCAGCTGGAGCGGCTGGTTCTCCGGGTGCCCCAGGTCGACCGGGTATTGATGGAAGATCAGGTGTTCCGGGGCCCCCAGGAAAAAGTGGTCCAATGGGGAAAAGTGGTCCGAGAGGAGAACCAGGTCAGGCTGGACAGGATGGTAAGCCAGGGAGGACTGGTCCTTCTGGACCACCTGGAGAGAACGGTAGGGATGGAATTCCTGGAGCTTCGGGTCCACCTGGGCCTAGAGGTCAACCAGGCAAAGCTGGATCAAGTGGACATCCAGGGACGGTAGGATCAAGTGGACCACCAGGACCACAAGGAGAAATTGGACAACCGGTGAGTTTTTTAATTTATGAAGAATAAGGACTTGGTAGCATATTTAACTTTCATATAGCTTTTGTTTTAATCTGTTCCTTTAAGCCTCTTCTGAAATTCGGTGTGATTCACTTCAGTGTCTATTACAATATATTACTTTTTCCGTACTTGCATCAACCCTACTTTTATAGTCAAATTTTGATCCCATTGCTATTACTTCGGACACAAGCTAACTAAAAGAGGTGACGTTTTAAAACTAATCTACAATAGTTGTATTCGCCCAAAGTTTAAGATACATAGAGACTAAAAATAGTCAAATGATTTGGTCAAAATTGTGTGGACGTCAGAAAAATGGGTCATAAGATAGTGGTTATTTAGCTGTTGATTAGTTATAGCAAGGTTTGTTGTAGTTTTCTCAAAGCTATGAAACAATCCTGTTACCAGTCCCATTCAAACCATTTTGTGTTGTCTAACTGTTGCAACTATCAAATGGTGTGAGGTAAGGCGTAGCAACTGTCGTATAATAAATGGTTAGTCAAGAACAAAAATGAAGGTCATCACAAACTATCAGTAGGTCACCTACACTGAATATTAGACCACATTTTTTACCGTTTAGTCAATACTTCTTTGGAGGAGGATGTGAACTGCTACTTATACTATTGTCAACGATCATCAGCAATAGTAATAGTTATAATGAAATTGTATAAAACTCAAAAGATGAAGAGAAAGCCTATGTCTGGCATAGTAAGTAATACGTCACTATAAAAAACACAAGAGAAGGCGCTCACCTTGATTGGATGAGTCAGAAAATCGTTCAAGTAAAGGGTTCTACAAATTGGGCCGTATAAACTAACTGAAGCGTTTCATTTTGAATAAAAACATCATTTTAAGATGACAGTGAAAATTAATGCAGAAAATGGCTGGACTGAGATTTTCTTTACAATGACTACTCTTTTCATCTATTAGAACAACTGATACATGATAATGTAAACGACTAACAGTCACACAATTTCTAGTGTAACCTCACCATTTATTTAGGAGCAAAATATTAAAATTTAGATTTAAAAGGAAAAAATCAAGCTAAATAATCACCGTGATTTCTGTTTTATTCTAGGGTCCCCAAGGTGAACGAGGCCTTCCTGGATCAGTCGGTTCGGCTGGTCCAAAAGGCGAGAAAGGTGAAAAAGGTCCAACAGGAGAACCAGGAGCACTTGGCGATGCGGGTCCTCCAGGGCCTCAAGGAAAACAAGGAGCGATTGGCGAGAAAGGATTTTCAGGTTTGGTTGGAAATGTTGGTTCTCCAGGTTTACGAGGACCGCGTGGAGATTCTGGCCCACCTGGTGATGCTGGTAAAGATGGAACACCAGGAACAGATGCTCCAGATGGTGAAATTGGTGCACCAGGCCCAGAAGGACCACAAGGTCCTGTAGGTCCGGCAGGTCTTCCAGGACCTCAGGGTTTACCTGGAACGAAAGGAGAACCTGGTAGTATAGGACCGATTGGTATACCTGGACGCATGGGAGTAATGGTTAGTTACAAAAACGTTCTTTTCCTCTCACCGTGCAACTGTTTGTTTTCTTAAAACTTTACCTCATGAGTTCGAGAAATTGAATAACTTTTCCAGTTTTAAAGTTTATTTAAGGAATCCCTAGAGATTAAAAAGATTCATGAATAAGCAGATTGAAAATACAGTAACTGAAATCAATTACAGATAGTGGTAATTCACCAAGTAATTTGTGATTCATTGGAGAAAAATACTCGTTACATTCTCAATCCTTGTAAAAAGGTTTAACAGTGCGAAAGAATCGAATAATAAATTTTTAAGTGGTTACAAAACTTTAGTTGGAAAAGTAGCACTTTATTTATATAATACCTCGAATGTATGTTTTTATTTTCTATCTAGGGAATACCTGGTGCACCTGGTCCTTCTGGACCAACCGGTCCACCAGGTTTCAAAGGCGATCGTGGTATTTCTGGAGCAAATGGAATGCCAGGAAAAGATGGTCAACCCGGAAATCCTGGACCTGTGGGGGCAAGAGGGCCACCTGGTGCAATCCATTTGACTGGAAGATCAGTTGGAATTGTTGGGCCACCTGGCCCGATTGGAGATGTCGGTGCTCCTGGAGAACTTGGAGTTCCTGGATTATCTGGACAACCTGGTCCCGTGGGTCTCCCAGGTTCAAGTGGAACACCCGGTAAACGCGGACCAGCTGGTTCTGCTGGACCACCCGGAAGCCCAGGTGCAAATGGTCATGCAGGCATTAGAGGTCGAGCTGGTAGTCCAGGTCAACTTGGTGGCCAAGGTCCACCTGGTGTCCAAGGTCCTGCGGGCGTCCCTGGTATCAGAGGACCTCAAGGCCCTCGCGGTTTACCGGGTCGCCAAGGCATGCAAGGTACCCCAGGAAAAGCTGGGTTAAGTGGTTCACAGGGTGAGACTGGTCTACCCGGCAAGCCTGGGAAACAGGGTCCTACAGGGCCACCTGGACCAGCTGGTAAGGATGGTGATCCTGGAGAACCTGGCCCTCCTGGAGCACTTGGCGAACCTGGAGATGTTGGCAGCCCCGGAGCGCCTGGGAGAGATGGATCAATTGGAATGATTGTGAGCTACTTTGAACTATATTTTTGTTTTTTACTTAAACTGTCTTTTGGTGTTCCAGAAAACAAACTGAAGTGACGAACACTATACAAATCTAGCGGAGTACGTGTCATAGTAATCATTAAGATTTTAAATAAACAACAATATTCTAAGTCAGTTATGGTTATTTACCGTTTCTGAAATCGATCCTACAATTTAGTAAACATCATTTCAGTGCCAACCTCAGTCTAGTGATGTTCAGATAGGTTAAAATGTCAGTTAGAAAATTGAAATGCAGGTTTTCTTTCTGTTTTGGTATTTACCAAATTTATTTCAAAAGGTCATATACAAATAACCCTATTCACACCTTGTTAACGGGATAAACCTGATGTTTGAGACAACAAATATCGGGTTTGACTCTCAATTGGGAAAATGTTACCGGAGTCAGGTAATTTCAGCTGATGAGTCCTGTGTAAGATGAAATGTATGTTTTGGATCTCACTGCTAACTAATTATCATTGCTGCAGAAACTCAGTTACTAGCACCTTTTAAGCATTGTTATAGAGAGTACACATGACAATGGTGACCATGTAAATTCTATCCGGGTCAATTAATGTTTCATAGAAAAAGGCATTTGATAAAATACAAATTGAGAGTGAATTACATAGAGATTCTGTGATTTATGAGATAAGTGTTCATTGTGATGAAATTCAAATCAATAACAATTACAGACAGTGTATTTTAAAGTCAATTTCGATTATGAACGGACATCAAATGGAAAACGATCGAAAAGTAAGGGAATTATTTCCAATGTATATCATTGGCTGTTTTTGGCTTCAAAGTCAAGACCGGTAAGTCTCTAGATGAATGGATTACTATCCACTTGGTTAGAACTTAGCAATGGACTTCCATTACTGACATGGAATATCATTCATATTATAAGGTAAACTGACTGAAACTTCAAACATTAATCGACATATTCTAACAAAGCGGGTGAATGAATACTGTGAAAAACTGAAAGTTGTAAGTTCACGATTCTTTTATTTGTATGGAATAATAATTACTTAGAATTCTCTAGTATTAAACATTCTACCGGTGACAGCAGTTCATATAGGAAAATATTGTAAGACCATTTATTTCCTCACAAGTTAAATATGTGAAAAACTGTTTTTAATTTATGAAATAAGTGACATTTTTTCAGACCAAGACTGATTTCAGACAGTATAGTTTTTTTGACATTCATGTTCCATTTTAGTCTGTTTATTAGAAATATCACACAATGAAACAGTATCATTTACTGGATAATTTTTCGGATACAATTTATTGTCTGTATTCATATCAGATAACTCCACAACTTTGAGACACAGTTTACATATTCCTAATTTTCTCTTCTTCTCTGTGATGACAAGGGTAGCAGAATTTTCCATATATCTGGGATAGGTGCAGAATCATTCCTGTTAGCACATGTATTTGGTGTTGATTTGATAAACAAAGATTCGGTTATCAATCTCTCCCTCCCTTTAGCTAAGTTTTTATGCTGTTACTCTAATCAACCCAGGTCGACTACTTTGACCTATGTATTTGACTTCGCAATCATTGCAAGGGATTTGGTAAACTAGATTATTTTGCTTAATTGCATCGATAGGATCTTTTAACCTACAAAGCTTGCTTCTTAGCGAGTCTGTTGGTTTGAATGGCACTTTAATCCCAGCCTAATTCAGACTTCTTCGTAATCTTTCTGGGGTGCCTTCCTTGTTTGGTAACACAGCAGAGGCCTTGAATTCTCTCTCAAGCCTGTCACCACTAATACCATTAGTAGCAGAACTATTATTGATAACATCTATATTACTACTACTACCACTACTAATATTTTTCTTCCGATTTCTTATGAATTTATTTATAAATTTTGGTGGGTAATTATTGAGACGCAAGGTATTCTTGATGTATCAAACTTCTTGTCGTAGATTTTCCGGTCTACTAGTAAGCTTTCTCGTCCATTGCTTAGGCACTTAACTAAGCCTACTTCAAATGAAATGGCGGGGGAGGATTCGAAGTCTAAGTTGCAATTCGAATGGGTAGGTTTTCTATAGACACTAGTCTCTAAACTTCCGTTTTGTGTTCCCTTAATCTTACAGTCCAACATTGCTGAACCAGCTTACCTTCATCACTTTCTAAGTCACAGGTAAATTGGATTACACTCACTACTGAGTTTATATATGCCAAGTACCTATTAATGCGTTCCGATTTCAGTACTGTAAAAGTATCATCTACATATCAGAACCATGTCTTTAGAGTGGGACTAGATTTTTGAAGGGTCATCTGTCCCCAACTATTCATAAATATGTCTACGACGAGAAAGGATATTGGTGATCCTATGGCAACGCCTTCAGTTTTTTTACATACTTTATTTTGAAACTTAAAAACTGTAAATGTTAGGCACAATCGTACTCCTAGTATGATTTCCTCGATCGGCAACTTAGTTCGATGCATAAGTTCTGTTATCTTTAAGCCCATTTTTAACTGTCTCTAGAGCCATGTCGATCAGTATATTCGTGTAAAGGCTAGTTATGTCAAAACTAATCATTTTTCACTGTCGTCTAACCTATGCTTTAAGTCACATTCGTGTTATTTTAACGACTGCTAAAATAACACAAATCTGTTAAATGTAATGGGATTAGGTTGAAGAAACCTTTCTGAAAACCCTGGAAAATTTAGAATCTTAGTATTCAAATTAATCTTCTATCAGTGTGTGAGTTGTCATTCTGAAACACTGTTGATTAGGCATTTTGGTACTCATGTCAACACTTAAAAAGAAATGATAAAGTAGGAAACTGTGAACTGTTGAAGTCCGACCCAGTGGCTGAATAGTTAACCTATTTACTGTGAAACCTTAAGGTTCTGAGTTCTTCCGTATTGGGATAGTGGGTGCGTACTGCTGAAGATTCTCATGTTAGGATGAAACAGCTGTCAAGTGCTCCCATGTTTTCAGTGTTTCTCCAACTGATTTCAGTCCATGATGAATACCATCTTAAAGATACTAAAGGCTTAAAAAAACTTTGTATACAATTTTCCTTGGTCATGTGCATGGTGTGCATCATCAATCATGACGAAATCTCGGTGTTAGGACTGTTGCCGATTTTAAGCATTATTTGAACATGAATACGGTTCACTGCAGCATCGACTTGTTTTCATCAAGGCTAGGTTACACGACCAAATGGATAGATACCAGATATCGTAGTCAGATATAGCATAACATAGTTTCCTATCCTATACTAGATTTAGTAGCTCACTCTTAGCTTACAAACAGTTTTCATAGTTGTAATACAGCTCTACTATTTTGTCTGCAATTGTAGTGCTGACCTATGTGATCTTAGAATCTAAATATCTTAGTTTCTTTGAAGTTGTGAATGTACCCTACAGGTGACGACCTATGACCACAAACCCAAAAATAAAAAATTCTAGTCACAAACCTAGGAAATACTTGAATTTTGGGAATTCCTATGATATAACCCATAAAAAGTTAGTTATTAGTACCTAAGACTGATGTTATTTCACTCTACATGTTGTGTGCAGAAGTAAGTAGTTTTTGATGATGCAGTATTCTGGCGTCTGTGATAGATAACGAGATTCAGAACCTCATTTTTTTCTGGAGTCCTTCATTTATCAAACCAATAACTAACTTTACACGCAAAATGAACACCTTAGCTAATAACAAATAAATTACTTACATTTAGTTACGGATTGTTAATGTGATAATAAAAGATAATTTGTTGTTTTCGAAGTTGCATGTTTCTTTCAATTCAATATCATGATTATCCCTCATATATTTCTCAAAAATAGGGTATGCGTGGATCGTCAGGAGGACCTGGACCAAGAGGACCACCTGGCCCACTTGGTTTAAGTGGTCCACAAGGAGCAGCTGGTCCGACTGGACCCCAGGGTCCTGAAGGACCAAGAGGTGCAAAAGGTGTTAAAGGACCACCCGGATCAGAAGGACTTGAAGGGCCACCAGGAGAAGATGGTGGACAGGGTCCAGAGGGATTGGCTGGACCACCCGGTGAACCTGGGTTTGATGGACCTCGAGGTCAACGTGGCGCTCCTGGTCCCATGGGTCCTGTTGGAGAAGTAGGAGCTCCTGGTCAAGATGGTAGACCCGGCCCACAAGGAGAACGTGGTGTTTCTGGAAAACCTGGTCTCCCAGGACCACCAGGAGCAAAAGGAGCTGAAGGGGAGATTGGAGCTGATGGACAAGATGGATCTAGCGGTCTTCCAGGAAGTCCAGGTGGTAGAGGTCATCCTGGATGGTCTGGACCTCCAGGGCCACCAGGTCCTCCTGGTCCTGATGGTGTTCGTGGAGATCCCGGTGAAATAGGTTATGCTGGAAATCCAGGACCAGCGGGTGAAAGTGGGCCTATTGGTGAAAGTGGAGCGAAAGGTCCTAAAGGACAAAGGGGAGAAACAGGATTACCTGGTCCACCAGGCCCTTCAGGTCGAGACGGGTCCTCTGGACCTCCTGGGCCGATAGGACCTCCAGGACCACCTGGACCACCTGGTATGCCATCTATACAATTACCAATAACCAGTCGGAGTACAAAAGCTGGAAATATTTATGCTGACGACCCATTAGCAGGAAGAATTATGGGAACTTATGAAAATCTGAGACCAAGGGGAACGAGATCTGCACCTGCAGTAACTTGTAAACAGCTGGGGCAATACAACAAAGACCTACCTGATGGTAAGTTTTAAAAAGTGGATAAGTGCATGTTGCCTTTTGTCAATCGGATCAAGTCAAGAAGGCTTAATTATGTTAACAACTGTGATCCATGCAAAAGGTGTTTACAGTATTTGCCTTCAACTATTATTTTAGTCCTGGTGGTTAGAAATATTTATTAAGAGAACTATTACTATGTAGTACGTAGTACACTTAAGCAAATCCTGAAAGTAATTTCAACTTGTTGGAAAACAATCAGAAACAGAAATTTTGAGATACAATTACAAGTGATGAAGATCTACAAAAACGGAAGAAAACACTTAATGTTATCACTTGTACTATACCGTCGTTGATTCAACCGAATTGATTGGTCTCTATTGGCATATGGGCTCCTGTGCGGATGCCTTGATATACCTGTCTTCTAATTATAGTAATCATGGATAGGAAAAGGTCCTAAAGGGCAAGGGGGAGAAACAGGATTACCTGGTCCACCAGGCCCTTCAGGTCGAGACGGGTCCTCTGGACCTCCTGGGCCAATAAGACCTCCAGGACCACCACTGCTAGCCGCTATCCTTCTTTACTAAAAGAGAACACTTACCTGAACATCAGAGGTTGTTTAAATGTTTAGATTGAATATTTGACTTGCCGCTATTATTGCAGATCTGAAGAGAAAGATATCTGTCACCTGAGAGACCCATCAATCTTGTTTTCATACTAAAAGTTAGTCATTATTGTGAACTGTTGATATATGTCTAAGTTGGCTTCATTTGAAAGGTTTGATATTATGACTTGTTATTTTTCGTTGTCGACTGGTTTGCATCGAACTGATCAGTAGGATTTGGTGTATGGATCTCAGTTCAGATGTCTCGATAAAGCCAATAATTTCTTTTTGATTCTAAAGATAAATAATCGCTACTGGTGGAATCCAGGACACATGTTTCGTCCCATCTGGGACTCGCCAACTAGACAGAAACAAATAGTCCTAATACTAGACTATACCCATTGTACAAGAAGTGTTCCTGGTAAATCAACGACTTAGTCCCTAGTGTTCTGGTGCGTGAAGGAAAGGGTGGCAAGTTTAATTCTCAGTGGCAGCACCATCAATCATTAGAATGTGGAAATTTTCGGTTACTGAGAATTAAATAAGATGAAACAGGTGGCATGGATTTCACTGCTAGTCACTATTCATCCTTCTACAGAACTTTTTCTAAAGTTTTCCATAAATATGAAGTGGTTAATCATCGAAATTTACTAACTTAAGCGAAAATGATTGTTTTAAGTAGAATCATTTATACTTACATCATTTGTTTGATAAAACAAAAACAGTCAGATGAACCACAACTTACCAACAAACTAATTGACTGAAATAAAATCATCTTACCTGAAGGAAAACAGCATTTATTCATGATAAACATAAATTTAAAACATTTAGTTCGTTTAACAAGATTCGTTAACGTTATTAGAAGACGAAGATTATCTGACAAACGTGATGTATTCGCATAATACATTTTGAACAAACTGTTAACACATTTACTTGTCAGTTAATGTATGAAAATGAAGGTCAAATAAAATAAATATGAAAAGACATAGATTATCTGAAAAATGTAACAAGACAGGCCTTCGTTCATTAATCTGAAACCAGTGTGGAAATCTACTACACTCAGAATAATGTGTGAACAAAATCCGAATTTTCAACACCAACGTTAAGTCAGTGATTCTATGTGATAGTTCAGAGACTTGGTGCGTTACGAAAAGCATTTCCAACAAACTACAGACATTTATCAACAGCCTCCGCCTACACTCACTCACTCGATACTGAAGATCAGATGAGAAGGCCAGAAAGAATGAGCAACAAGGAACTCTGGCTGGCTGACTGGCTGGCAACGAACCAACGAAGCAAGAACCCATCGCCTAACAAATATGGAGAGGAAAAAAGTAGAGATGGATTGGACTGAACTAAACATACACTGAGAAGGCCGACTGGGGACATCAGGCGTCAGGCCGGACACTCGAGTGGAATCCATAGGGAAACGACGAGTTGGGCATCCGAGGCGAGGGTGACATGGAGGAGATCGTGTGAAGAAGAAATGAGAACTTGTGGGCTGTCGTGATGCCAGGTTGAAAAGACTGCAGAGAAGAGAGTGGAATGGAGACATTCTACTGAATCCTTATGTTCCACTAGGAACCCAAGAGACAAATAATAATAATATTAATATATCTTCCCCTACATGAATGATCGAGGGAGAATTTAAAGGCCAAGCAAGCAACTACAAAAACGATCAATCATGTTATGGTATTTTGGTTGGGAATAAAATTTTTCATAGAAGAGAGAAACATGACTGGTTATTTCATCATTTGCTAGAGTGACCTTTAAAGTCACTCATGATTTATTGAGTAAATCATCAAAAGGTGACAACATGATAGGATAAATACATTAGACATTAATGACTTGCATAGACAGCTGCAATAAATATATGAAGAGGAAGTAGAGCAGAATTTCATTTCACAGTATTCCAAATGAATTGTTCCAAATTTATTTCGCTTAATCGTCTTAATCACTTCGAAAAACATTACTTTCATATTAACAACTTGTCTAGTCCTATTGCATAATACTTTACAGATCCACTATTTCCATTACTTCTAGACCCATTGTGTATATTACATAATCCACTTTATTATTATTCATATTTTAGCTGTTATCATAAGTAGCTTTATCGTTATCACTAATATTATTAATAATATGTTCATATATTCATCTTTCCAAAATGGTAATTCATTCTCTCTCATCCCCCTGAGGGCTAAATTCCATAATATTTTTCATAGTCGAAATAAATTTCCCACCCTAGTTTTTTTCCATCTTGCTTGTACAAATGGGAAAAGCCTCTTTGACCCGTTCGCTAATTCACTCACCTCAATTATATTGATCTTTACTATAACTAGAACACAGGTAATGTCGAGGCCTCCTCACAGGAGCCCATATGACAATAGAGACCGATCAATGGTATAATGCAAGCAATAACACTTTATTGATATTTGTTCCACATCAAGGTGTACATGGATGATAGTGAAGATCACCTGTACCAAAACGGGCAACTTCAAAGACCACCCTAGCAACAATCGAAATAACCAATTAGGTTTCTCCATTTCAGCTGGAAAGGCAGATTTTCATAAAATAGAAAAGTCTAATTAATTATTTCAGGTGTTGCTAGAGTGGCTTTTAAAGTCACTTACTAAAACCTATAAACTTTATTTCGATAACATTATTGAAAGACGGAGATTACGTAATGCATTTCGAACAAACTGATAACACATTTACTTGTCAAGTCAATTTATATATGAAAACGATTGAATAAAATTAAACGTCAAATATGATGAATTTGTAAAGGTTGTGATAGTAGTCTCGGCAATATCATCAGATAAAGATTACCAAGGTAAATTCAGTGAAACAACAAATTGCTTTTGTACATACAATAGGGGCTTGAGTTTACCAATGGTTAACACTTCGATACATTTCAGTATGCACCCGTAACTGTTCCTGTATATTATCGTGAAGGCTGTTACGTATTAACCCTGTGATTCACTTCAATGATATGTGTTGCTATAGATGAAGATGAATGTCTATCATCTGCACCTATCAAATCTTGTGTGTTAAACAGTTTTTCAAGTGATTTAGGTTTAGTGTTTACCTATGGTAGTCTGAGCATAGTACGATTACTCCTCCTTGTGTATGTGTTCTCATATACAAACCTTGATCATCTTTGTGTGATTATGTTAGCAAGACTAGTGTCGCAACCTTTTCACATACATTTTTATATATAAATTGACTTGACAGGAAATGTGTGATCAGATTAGTCAAAATGTATTGCACAAACACATAGTGTTTCTCAGATAATCTTCGTCTTCTAATCATTAAACTAAATGAGGTAGAAGTAAACAAAATAATATAATCAATGTTTTTGAAGTAAAATTTCAACATTCAGGTAGGTTCATTGAAAGAAATGAAGTTATGAGGTAGCGAAATTGAATGTTAAGCGTTAATCAACATGCTGACTTCATAACTCAAAAAATTTATGCTTTTAAGATCTATTCTTAGCTGAGCTTTTGTACCTACGACGGTAAGCTTCCTGTGATGTCTAAGTCATCATCTAACTTCAAAGGAATTAAATTTACTCCGATTTACTATGTCACTAAAAGCACTACATCATATACATACACATAACTCGAACTCAAAGCATACCTCCAACACTAGAAACAGTTTGTTTATTGAAATAGAAATTCAATACTCAATATTTTAACATTAGTTGATGACAGTATCAAGCAACAGTTTAAATTATTTGTGTCCTACAGATTATGGTAAAACATTTTTCTTTGAAGTCGTAGCCACGCACCCTTCATTAAACTTGAGGGTACATAGTGAAAATTAACAAATAAAACCACATAAAATAACATCCATCCCCCAAACACAACAAGCTCCAGTCACCATCAAAGAGAGAAACCTAAAGAAAGTAACCTCCTCCACTGTTTCAACTACAGGCTATGGCACAGGCACAGATGAGGATATCAAAGCTGCCAGGATCCGAAAAGCAAGATAGGCGTTCATTAACCTGAAACCAGTGTGGAGATCTACTGCACTGCACTCAGCATGTGGAACAAGATGCGGATTTTCAACATCAACGTCAAGTCAGTGCTTCTGTGTGACGGTCCAGAGACTTGGCGGGTTATGAAAGGCATTTCCAACAAGCTGCATATATTCATCAACAACTGCCTACACTGGCTCGTTACTGAAACTCAGATGGATGGCCAGAAAGAATAAACAATAAGGAACTCTGGCTGGCTGGCTGGCTGGCTGGCTGGCTGGCTGGCTGGCTGGCTGGCTGGCTGGCTGGCTGGCTGGCTGGCTGGCTGGCTGGCTGGCTGGCTGGCTGGCTGTCAATGAACCAAACAAGCAAGAACCTATCTGGCAAAAAATATGAAGAGGTAGGAAGTGGAGATTGATTGGACTGGGCATACAGTGAGAAGGACGATTGGGGACATCACGCTCCAGGCCAGGCACTTGAGTGGAACCCAGATGGGAAACGGCGAATTGGGCGTTTGAGGCGAGGGTGACATGGAGATGGTGTGAGGAAGAAATGAGAACTTGTGGGCAGTGGTGAAACCAGGTTGAAAAGATTTCCGAGAAGAGAGTGGAGTGGAGATGTGCTACTGAAGCCCTATGTTCCGTTAGGAACCCAACAGACAAATAATAATAATATTCTCCGATGATAAGGCTTGCCGTAAAAGATATAAAGCTTAGTGCTGTGGTGTTGTACGCAGCGGACACGTAAAAACACTAATAAGACTGTATGGTTTACCTACCTAAATTTATATTCTCTCTTCCTCTCTTTGTCAAAGCTTCAATTAATTTCTTTTATGTGTTCGGATCTAATTATTCAAAATAATCACAAATGACCAATTTAGTAGTCTTGGCTTACTTTTTAACTAAAAGATCAATATCATGTTTATTCTTGATTAATTATTTAGTAGATGTATTGCCTTTTTTCTCTTTGCTTCCGGAAACAATTTATCCTAGTAGTGTTCATGATAATCAAAGATTTTACTTGAAAATATCTAATCAATCATGCTGATTACAAAACTGTCTATAAATAAAAATTATCATTGAAATAATAGAGAATATTTGTAGCTTAGGCGAATGGTCTTGGTTGTATTGTATTTTCTGAGGAGCTAGGTTGCTTAATCATAAAAACTTTCATCGTCTTTCTGGACAACATCATCAGCATTAATTTCAGTATGAAAATTGAAATTAAATTAAAATTCATACGCTTACGCATGTTAATACACCAATAAAATGTAAGAATTTTGGGATTAAATGTGAAGAATTGCGTTTTGATTCTAACTTGGATACAATGATATCTTCAATCTATCAATCTATTATTTCAAGTTGTTATTCATCGTAGACTGATATCAGTTGGAGGAACAAAGCACTGGATAGCTGTTTCATCCTAGTATGGGACTCCTCAGCAGTGCTCACCCACGACCCTATCCCTCCAGGGATCGAACCTGCGACCTTCAGGTTCCGCGGCCAGCACGTTACCATTGATCTACAAAACAGCTGTCCAGTGCTCCAAAGTTTCCTTTGTTCCTCCAACTGATTTCAGTCTACGATGAATAATAACTTAAAATATTTCCAAATCTCCACAACTCCCTCAAAAATCTATTATTTCCCCAGTAAACAACCTCATTTTTCTTTATCATGAATCTTTTATCAATGTTAATTTGTTTAGTCAGAGTTCCGTTGCACGCACAAGCCTACAAGTGTGTACAACAGGATAGCTGAACTTAAAATCCACACCAAGTGCTAGGTTCTTTGATTACAGGATTAAAATCATCCTCTGTTGTTGCTATCTGATGAAGATTTGACCAGTTACTCTTTAGTAAGTACTTTTCTGTTTGGTATTCATCAAGGACTGACATTAGTTGGAGAACCATCGGAAACCTCGGAACACTGGATAGCTGTTTCGTCGTAGTATGCCACTCTTCAGCAGTATATACCCACCATCCCGCCAGGGATCGGACCCAGGGCCTGCAGGTCCCGTGACTAGCACGTTGCTATTGAGCCACTGAGCCATGGATGAGCACTGCTGAGGAGTCCCATACTAGAATTAAACAGATTTTCAGTTCTTTTAGGTTTCCCATGTTCCTCCAACTGATGTCACTTCATGATGAATACCAATTTGAAATCAATAAGTCTCCACAAACCCCCAAAATGAATACTTCTGTGCCGTGAATAAATCAAAGTTATCTTTTCATACCGTTGAAGCTCGACAACAGAGTAACAGATAAATTTGTAAATTTGATAATTTTCTTGGACTTATCAAACTGATGGCATCAAGTGGGGGTGAGAAAACGAAATTATTGATGTAAACCGCATAAAGATTAATATTCTATTAACTTTCTTCAGTTTATGGAACAAGTTATTATTATAATTAGCATTTCTCATTGTATAGTAAGAGTGGTCGTTTAGTACTCTTCATTTGTCATACTCTTTATCTGATGCCTAATCTTTATTATGATCATCAGCGTCATCATTTGTCCCTTGGGTTCCTAAAGGAACATAGGGCTTCAGTAGCACATCTCCACTCCACTCTCTTCTCGGAAATCTTTTCAACCTGGCTTCACCACTGCCCACAAGCTCTCATTTCTTCCTCACACCATCTCCATGTCACCCTCGACTCACACGCCCAACTTGTCATTTCCCATCTGGGTTTCACTCGAGTACCTGGCCTGACGCATGATGTCCCCAGTCGGCCAACTCACTGTATGCCCAGTCTAATCCATCTCCACTTCCTACCTCTCCATATTTGTTGGGCGATAGGTTCTTGCTTGTTTGGTTCGTTGCTGGTTGGCTGGCTAGCTAGCCAGCCAACCAGTTATTAGTTATTAATAACTAATAATTATCCCCATCATTTTATTAAGAAATTCACACGGACGCATAAGAAGCAAAATAATAACACTAATACAAATACAAATAATAGTGACAACATAAGTAGAAAGGAAATCAGCACCTCTATTGTGATACCATACAAGGAAGGAACATCAGAAACCATACGTAGGATTCTCAACAAGGTTGGAATTAGGGTGGCATTTAAACCAACAAACTCACTTAGAGGTAAGCTGTGTCGGCTAAAAGATCCGATAGAACCAATTAAGCAAAATAATATAATCTACCAAATTCCATGTAATGACTGTGAAGTCAAATACATAGGTCAAACTAGCCGGTCGGGGTCAGTTAGATTAACAGAACATAGGAATTTAGCTAAACATAGAACGACAGACCCCAATAAGATCAATAACCTAGAAAAACACTCAGCCATTGCATTACATTCATTAACACACAACCACACAATAGGATGGGACAAAACCACTGTACTTAAGTCTAATATAGCTAGGTGGAGAGAGAGATTAATTACTGAATCTTTGTTCATCGAATCCACACCCAACACATGTAATAGGAATGACGCAACACCTATACCAGAGATATGGAAAACTTTACTACCAATCAAAAAACAAAAAAACAAAGAGAGATCAGGTGACAGGACTATAAAATCAGATGTCGAAAGAAGTGTGATTACATTGATATGATTATGAGCAATAATTTATGCTCGAAACGTAATCAATTAAATAATACTGTATCACTGTGCGCTTTATATCAAATAAACAAATCTAATAATGAACGTCTATCTTGCTTTTCCGATCCTGGCAGCTTTGATATCCTCATCTGTGCCTTTGCCACCACCTGTAGTTGAAACAGTGTTGCCTAGATAGTTGAAGGAGGCTACTTTGTTTAGGTTTCTCCCTTTGATGGTAACTGGAGCTTGTTGTTGTTGGTGGTGTTGCTGTTGGTCGGGTATCTTCATCACCTCTGTCTTCTCTACGTTCACTCGAAGTCCCATCTTCGCCGCTCTGCCTCTTCTGTCAACTTGTTAGTTTTTGCCTGTAGATCTTCAAGTTTGTGTAACATCAGACACAAGTCATCTTTGGCAAAATCCAAATCTTATAGGTTCTTTTCACCGGTCCAGCCAGCATGTCCCCCTCTTCTCCCTCCTCACTGTTTGCTGCATGATCCAGTCCAGTTGACTACAATCAGGAATATCCTGGGTGATAGTAGATAGCCTTGTCTTACTCCTGTTTTCACTTCACTTCAAAGGCATCACTGAGCTTCTGATTGTGAATTACTTGGCATGTGGCACCTTCAAATAGTTGTTGAGTGAGATTGATGAAGCTTTACTGTGATACCTCCTTGATATTCCAAAACTGAATCAGAGAATTCTAATGTTTTACAATAAAAAGGATACTTGTTTTGTGATAAACAATACTACATTTCAATTGGGCTTCAACTCTACATCACGGACTCAAGCATTTCAGTACCTGTTATGACTTAGACAAACAAAACAATGTCAATACAGTTGCTATATCTCACGACTTATCATTATCATATTTTCATTCATATCCTATGTCATTGATCTTTTCTCCATTTTATTGATGATACATTTTCCAAATTTCATTTCAAGGTTATTATTGGATTGATCCAAATGGAAATGAGATTAATGATGCTGTACAAGCTTATTGCAAATTTAAGACAAGTGAAACATGTATCCGATCGAAACAAGAAGAAGTGAATCTAAATTATTTCGATAATATGAATTCAACTATGGAAGGAAGGGATTTAGGCGGTCAGTTCCATGAAGTAAGTTCTTAATATAAGTATAGTTTCATTATAGCTAATTAACAATCAAACCAGATACAAAAAATTTATTATGTATATGCAGTTAGATTAATCCTTTATGCCTTACTATGGTTATACACCTGCTAGTATGAGTCATATAACTGAAATGGTCTTCATACTAACATGACAAAACTGCTGTTTATCTTACTGTCTCGAATTGATTAGTCTCTGTTAGCATACACGTTTCTGGATCATGAGCCTCGATATCGCCTTAGATTTTATCTTCATGTTATTCGATTGATGATGGCTAGCAATGGAATGTTATGTAGGACTTCGTCTTATCTAGGACTGATTGGCTCAATTTGTTCGCATTCCAATGAGTGGTGTTGTCCCCTCTAGGACTCGAACTCTGTAGGCATCTCTTCAAACGTCAAAGCTCCGTCAACCAACTTATTGACTCACCTGAGTCAACTCTTGTTATAGCTATTAGTTGTCACTGACTTATACTTGTTGCTTCCGGCTGTTCGTTTTTCTTGTACTGAATTGACCAGTCTCTGTTGACATCAAAGCAGAAATCAACAAATCAAAAAAGAGGAATACTAACAAAAATATGCTGATCATAGTCAATCTGTTCTACATCAAACTGTATCGAGCTATTACGTGTCTACACCTAAACAGCTGATCAACAAATCCTTGTTGTTTTGTCATCTGACAGATGCAGAACAATACTAAACATCATAGTTTACCGTAACGTCCCTTAGAAAAGAAGCTTGGATTTCTACCTCCTGTTATATAAATGTCACCCCAACCTACTTTTATATCCAATCAATAAATCTTGGTTGGTGCATGGGAGATATTATAGGTTTTTAATTGGAGAACCTGAGTAATGCCATACAAAGCCGATCAATGCAGTACCAAATCATTCACTGTTGGTTTTTTCTATCGAAATTTTTGACATTTTAATAATGCATATCTAGTTCATTCCTTTTTATAAGCCTAATTAGTATCAATTCTACCTTTTTTGTTAATGCTTTCTTTCTGTCCCATTTTGAAGTGCTGAAATGTGCACACAGTCATTTTTGTGTTAGGTTACTTGTTGCTACATCTTACAGCTTGTTTAAATTGCATTCGCTTTTCCTTTGATCAATTGCATCCAGTTAGTATGCTTTCATAATGACAGACTGACCTAGTACCTCTCCCAATTTCAGTACATAACTTCCTTATTGAATGTGAATATAAGGCAGAGAAGCATCGTTGCAGTCACCTTGCGTCCTAATATTCTGATCAATTACTGATCGATTTCTCGCTAATTGGTCCACAGTGCCGATAAAAAAGTGGTGAATTTTCTGTTATGATACACAAACTGTCTCCAACCAACCAAAGAATAATTTTGCTTGGTGACCATGCAGCACACGCAATCCAATATATCGGGTTAACACTAAGAAAAAAATATGATATTGCTCACACTGCAGTTATCTACCGTTGTGCGAATAAATCAGCCGTTACACACATAATTACAGCTTAGAGTCCCCAGGCAGTGGAGGGGGACTATCCTAGTGTTACAAGCATCTTATGGTATCTAACAGAAAATACTTATTTCGGTTCCATAGCTTCTAATCGACTAACTGTAAGTTTCAAAAGCAGTATAAGTAATAGCTATGGTTAAGACATAACGCATATTACTTTTTTCCTCATCGTCAACTGAAACTTTACGTATTTTGCTATCTAAGTTTGCCTCCCCAGACTTGATTATCCGCTGAATTTAAGCAATAATTAGTTTTGCCAATGATGAGGCTTCATGTATCATATTCTCTCCATTAGCTTGAAACAATCAAAGATAAAATCGTTTGTGCAGTACAAAGAATTCAGGTGCCCACAAGCTAATTAGAATAAACTATCATCAGACGAAGTTTGACATCCTTCAAAAAGGAGGAATAAAGGGTTCATCAAGTATGAACAATAAGTTCAAGACACAGAATGTGGGCATAATGTTTTCTTAAACTAAGAATTTAGATGGATAACCGTCATAGTTTGTAAATTCCTAACTAAACATCAACTTCATTCTCAAATCTTAAGTCAATTTAATACTGCCTAAAGGATCTGCCATTCCTCAGGTCCAAAATTTGTTAGCATTAATTCGTCTTAACTACTCTATGTTTATTAAGCATGACTGAAAAGAATAAAGTGTGTTCGTTGAAATTCGAAAACCTTTTTACGCCTCCTCTCAAACGTTCTTGAAAATATAGCTACATAAATTTGTCTACTTACAAGTAGTATAAAAAATAAAAAATAAATCCTACACATCTTTGGTTTTCATGCAACAATTTCATAACAAAAATCTTGCTGTCAGCTTGTTTTAACACACTTTCTTTCCCTCCAGTTTACGTATGAATTAGAAGGAAATCAACTAGAATTCTTAAAACGCCACAGTTTAATAGGCGTACAACAGATTTATGAAGACTGTTCAAAATTGAATGGAAGATTAATACCTAGTGAATTAATCACACAAAGTGTTACATTATTTACCGATAATGGAAATGAACTCTCTTATGGTCATCCTTATCTTGGATATGAAATCATTCGAAATTCTTGTCGCGTAAGTTTTAATTTTATTAATAATGAAATTAGTGGTGGATATTAAAGCATTTTTAATGGAAAATATTTTTTAAAGATAATTTTTGTCAATAGATGGTGGAACAATCGTATTGCATTATGAAGTGGCGTAATTTACGAAAGGATGTCAACAGCTGATATTCATCCCAGTAGTTTTAGATAAGGTCAGAAACTCAAGAACATCGTATTTTATGTTTCATATTAGAGTAAAGTTAAATCTATTACTGGAGTGACCAAGAGCATTCCAATATTAATGTTGATATTGTATGCAATGAGGTGCTCATGTAATTAGTAAGAATATCATAGTTTCTTCCTCCTATCGCTCTGTTGAGATGTAAAGAGAAAAAACCTAATATGCAACTGGAAGAACTCTTTTTACTTCGTATGAAATACATTAAGTATATCGAAGGAAAGATCTAATTTCCTCAGATCAATTGAAAACGAGTGAAACCATCCAGTATGCTTTTTTGGATCACAAAGTGGCATTTTATTGAGTCAACCGTGAGGTTCAAACACTTATACTTCAGTAAGTAATAATTTACAGTGTTTATTTCTATTTTTGGCGTTCCTTATAAATTACCATTACACTACCAGCATACCAATGACTTGGAAACCCCCTGTGACTATGTATGAAACTTAAGGTACTTTTTCAATACCATTCACAATTGATTTTCACCCAATTCAGCCTTCATATAAGGCATTATAAAGTATATATAACAGTAGTTTCTGAATTCTCTGGCAACGAACCAACCAAGAACCTATCACCCAACAAATATGGTGAAGAAAATGGAGATGGATTGGGCATGCACTGAGAAGACCATTCAGGAACATCACGCGCCAGGCACTCGAGTGGAAACCAGATGGGAAACGGCAAGTTGGGCGTCCGAGGGTGACATAGAGAGAGAGCTTCTGGGAAGTGGTGGGGCCAGGTTAAAAAGATTTCAGAGGACAGAGTGGAATGGAAACGTGCTATTGAAGCCCTATGTTCTATTAGGAACCCAATGGATAAATAATATAATAATAATAGTCTCTGAATTCTTCCACCAGTAGTACACTGTATAACCTAATCTTTTTCATAAAGTTGAGATCATTTAATAAGTTTATTAGCTCGTATCTATTATAAAGAAGTTTTCAGTGGTTATTATTAATATTATCCTTACTGTCAATATCATGATGTCATGGTGTAACGGTTTTGACCTTGAACACAAGGTGCTATAAACTTGCAAATGATTTTCGATTGCAGTCATTTTGTTCAACTTATTGGTAGATATTAAGTTAAATGTTAGTTCAAATTTCTAAAAACATTTTGTAGATAGCTAAAAGTCTATCTTGTACTTGTAGTATAAGAAAGTTAACTTTTCTAACCATTTAAACATTGAACTAATGGGCATTAATATGAATAACTAAATTTAAAGTATACAACTTGTTATACTTAGCATCTTTGTTGATTAATAGGCATGGCTTTTTTTATTCGACGACTTACAAAATACACATATTACTTTACAATCTCTCAGGTCAGTACTATTTTACACATTTTTATCGTGAATATCATCAAAGTTTTATAACCAAGTATGAAAATGGTTTTATATGTTTTTTGTAACCGTTTTTGTTAACTATGGAGAAAAACACAACATATCGACATTGATACAGGACGATGTTAAAAGGTGAAATGAAAACCTGGTTGGTGGTAGAACTAAAACTAAATGGTCTCTGGATATCAACCTGCAGTTCTACCACCTGAGTCTTATGACCCAGCTGCTGATCAAGCCGTTTTCCGGAGGTCACTTGTTTGAATCTTACTGAATAATGATACAGATAAATTAATGAAACGAAGTGTCAGATGAGTATGAACGTGAATCTGTATGTTGAAATAGGATTACCATTTTGACTATGTGAGTGAGATAGCCGTGGTTTATCAGACTAGTAGCGATACTGGATGATGGTTGAAGGGAAAATGAAAATTTGGGCAGCGGCTGGATTAGAATTAGAGACCATAGGGTTTCCGGACCGATACTCTGCTAAATCAGACCAAACTGCTGACCAAATTTTGATTTCACTTCAATCACCAAGGTTTTTGCCAAACTGCTTTGTGAATTCGTGACTCATTACTACCACTTGATCGTACTCACACTGGCTACCAAGTCAGGACCTCTCACCCCAATCAAAATCTAACTGAATTAGAGAGAGAGAGCATCATAGTGATAATGATTTCGACTATCTGAGTGAGACAGCCGTAGTTTTCTAGACTAGTATTGATACTGTATGATAATTGAAGTTGAAATGAAAATTTGGGTCCCAGAGGGATTCAAACCAGCATCTACCGGGTTTAGTTAATCAACAATAGTGAGAAAATTAATTGGTAACCATTAAACCCTTATCAATCGATGAGAAGCTGTTGCTTCTTCTGTTACAGCAGCATATTACTATTAATTATCGGTTCTCACAAGAAGCCAGTTAAGTGAAGATATAAACAAACTGGGTAAACTGATTTGGCTGTGTGGTATTTTTATTTTATTTGAAAGATCGGTTCAATCTTTCATACTTTTCATTCTATACTATTCCTTTCTCTACTTCTTGTTTCTTTTTTTCACCAATAATCTAGGCTTCATCAAAAGTGAAAAACACTGCTCTTTTAGTTAAAGGTTCAACAATCCGATTTCCAATACGTGGTATTCAACTACTCAGTTCATCCATATCTTTCAACTCAATTCAGATTGGAGATGTGTGCTTTCAATAGATAAATAATAATAAATATGAATAATTCAAAATCTTCCTAGTTGTTAGGCTGTACGTTTGTATTGATCGGGAATATCTTGATATTCAATTAATTTCTTCCTAAATTCTTCTGTCTTTTTCTCTGCCTGTCTACTTGCTTACCTGTCTCTGTTTACAAATGTAACTGTTGGCAGATTTAGAGAATAACAAACATCTGAATGAAGAGAGGTAAAGAAAAAGAAGTTAGAAGTTTTCAGGACGTTTTTTCAAAGCAAAATAAATTCAGAAACAAATGTTACTGTTTACTTGTACAACCACATCACACTGAAAAACGTTTTGACTTTTTATACTACTAAGGAGTAGGTAAAATATTCTTTTAAAAAACTTACAGCACCGCGTTAACCACAAGTTGTATACCATTTGCCTAACTGAAGGTCAGCGAAGATAAAGTAAGGATAAAATTCGATTATGAGAGAAGATTGACGAGTCATGAGGAGTAAACATACCTAGTCAAATGAAAAAAAGTTGTCGTAACTTCCTTAGGGGTGACTGGAAACGGAATCCAGGACACGCACGTATTCTGGAATCATCAGCTGGATATATCTACACCCCAATGAGTGGTTTTGTCCCCACAGAGATTTGAACCCAATACTCACCACTTCAAATGCCAAAGAGTTACTCAATAGGCCACTGAGGCATGAGAATCATCTCTTGTGCCATCAGTTATCATCATTAATTGATACTTGTAATTTCCTGTTGTTAATCTGGATAGAATTGATCTATTTCTATTGACAAATGAGATCCTATAGGGATGCCTCAATGCTTTCTGACTGGCTTTCATGCCTCACTGGTTTATTGGACAATGCTATGGTGTTCGGAGCAATGGGTACTAGGTTTGTGTGTCAGTGGGAATAACATCAGCCACTGAGGTTCAGTAACATCTGGCTATCGAGTCTCAAATAGAACGAAATATGCACCCTGGATTCCACTACCCAAACTACAACATAATCAATAATCAGGCAATACTGAAACATCCATATAGGAGCCTGTTTGCAAGAAGAAGTTCACTCCAGAATAACAACGAGAAATTAAAAGTATCAATAAACAGATAAATACTGTTCTTCGATAAATTAGAATATTCTTTCAAATAGTAGGGATGATACATTGGGCAACATTCTAAACTAAAATGTTCATTATCACCGGAGTATTTTATTTACTAAGCTACGAAGTTTCACTTTCTCAAAATGGACATCTAAGTTTTTGAGATTGTTCATTTAGGCTATATTAAGGATGATTTCAAAATTTCCAAAGAATCATTTTAGACGACGTGATTTGTATTCTTAGATATAAAATGTCGAGAAAATCTTTACTTATGAATACTTATAAGTGTATATAAAGAAACTTCACTGAAGAATAGAACAACTAATTCTATACCAACAAGTTAGATAGATAAACGGTGGACATAAATCTATATTTAAAAAAACATTGAATTAGTGAAGTGGAATGAGTATTTTCCTGTTTTATCTCATATAAAACTGAAGTATTCAATTTTGACTTCTTTTTAAATAAGTTATGTAGGCCAAAACAAGATAACTTTAAGTACTGGAATAACGGCTAAAATTAAGAAAAAATGCGGTTTGTAATGGGACTCGAGCTAGTAGCCTTATTACTACTGGCTCAAACGAACTAAATCAGGTAAACTATGGTTGTACAATATTCCCCTGTTTTCTTCAAACTATTTTCGTGAATAAAACAAGAAACCAGAGTATATCTACATTCATAATTCACTGGTTACTAGATTGATATCATTTCTACAAAATTTTTCATAATTATTATCACTAGAATTACTTCTAAAATTGGTTCCATAGGGTGGTTTTCTAAAGGGACTCAGAAAACTATTTATACTTTACTTAGGAATCTAAATTTCAAATATCTTTGATCAATCGAAATGTATGCCTCATTTAACTCTTACACTTTTGAGGTAGATAGACAAACATTATCATTATATAACCTGATATTACTGTATAGATGTCTTAACTGCCACGTCTCAATGACATCACTACATAAGGTTAAATGATTATCAGAGAAAAGACAACTGAGCGAAATTAATATCATCAGAAGCCATGTGATAAAAGACAGAATAGATTTTTAATAAATAGACAAGTGAGATGTTACAACTAAGTTGAAATTAAGGTATGAGTGGATCTGTGCAACTGACATCGAGTGAAATGCATATCATTTAAAGTACACAATCATCATCAATTCCAGTTTTAACGTGAAACCCTAATAGAAGGTTTATATTTCTGCGCAGTGCCCTTACTAACAGTTGTAGGCTTCACGGGTTACCTTCGTTAGTTTTTCAACCCAGATGTGGCTTTCTTCAACTTAGTTTTACCACACCCTGTACTCTATAAATAGGTAGACACTGTCTTGTCATAGACAAATCCAGGCTAAATTAACAATTTCATCAATTCACTAGATGTAAGGACATGAAATATCTAGCCCTTAAATATCTCAAGGGGCTATTAATCGTTAAACATATTCACAAGCAATCAAATTCGTCGAATTCTCCTGGAAAGTAGAACGACTTTATGTGTAATTTCCCGACTGAGTGATCTTTCTAAAGCCAATGACAACAGTCTTATACAGAACTCTCAAAATACTCAAGCCATCCCTAGATATATAAATAACTCAGTATTTCATGCATAGTTAGGCTTAGAATATTGTCTTACCATCATTTTTCTGAAGAAATTAGGCAACAAATAATGTAGAATTCTGAAGTTGTTGTTCAAGTGTTAAAAAGATATGTCAGTAGACGGGTTACATCAAGTGGCGACGGGGTCAAATTACTTATGATAGAGTTGTGTGCACTGTGTTCGGCATAAAACTCTATAAAGCCCCAAGTTACACAAATTCAATGATTAATTTAACACATGAATTTTGTTCTGATAGTCTACCAAGATAAACATGTATGTCTTGTTACTATTTATTGACATACTTGTTATTCACCTTGTGTCTTGCTGGATCGAATTGTTCGACCTCTATTGACATATGGGCTCCTATGCGGATACCTCGATATTGCCTTGGCGTTTCAAGTGATGGGTACGGGGTTCGAGTCCCAGTGGGAACAACATCACTGGGACGCAGGTACATCCGGCTGACAAGTCCCAAATAGGACGAAACGCGTGTCCTGGATTCTTCTGCTAGACACAACCAACTAATTTATTTGTGTCTTGGTTTAAGGGATATGATGACTTATATGTTGACCTAATAAAAGCTGAGTGATGCAACGAAAGTTAGAACTCTTTGATGGAGGCTAGACCCATCACAGCACTACAGATACACCAACTTTATCATCCTGAAGAATGTTTCAGATTATTCATTTAGGAAAACAATTAGAATTCTGAAGCAGGCATCTAGAAAATAGTCAGCACTCGTCAACATCAGCCGTTACTTTCCAAAGCCTGTGTACAAGTCAAGAAATGACTTGGTGCAGTTCATCGAGTTCGTTAACCAAGAATGTGAATATTCTAAGCTTCCTTTACTACCTAAAGACAAATTCAAGTACCTTGTTTTCATCTGCAGCCTACATTCTTATGTATATGCTAGTTTACCCTCTTGACCTTTGACAAAGATTAAATAGTGTCTGGCTTGTTGTTGGTGTTTTGTTCACTTCAACATCATAACTACACCAAATTCTCACAAAAAGGTGAGGCTATTTCAATTATTCTTCTTGTCTGGTAATTAACGCCAAGTTTTAACACTGTCTACTCTATGGTTTCACCATTTGCAAGCAATGATAAGAAGGCAAAAGTACACTGATTAGTCACTAGTCCTGAGTACTGACTGAATTCTATCGATCATTTTGTAATGTGATCATCAAGCTGGGAGACTTTCCGTTCCGGTGATCTTTGATACATGTTGGTTGAATGAAGACGATTGACAAATAGCCCTGCTTGACTTAGGTTTCGTGCTTGTTAGTAGTCATCAGTAGGGTATATTTGCAACCTTGAGGAAACTGATTTCCTCCATAATATTTGAATATGGATCACTCAGTCCTGCAATCAGATACATTACCACCAAGAGATATGAGCAGCGATTCATTTCCTGTAAGACTGGATTAGATACAATGATAGTCACTGAAGAGTAATCAAGTCCATGTTATCTAGTTCTGAGTACTAACCAAACTTTATCGATCGTTTCGTAAACATCTTCAGCCTTATGTAATTCTCTATATTTATTGACATTTCTCAAACGTAGTACAAAACAAACTAATAGACATTAAACTCAAAATTCAATCGACAAATTAATGTCACACTGGAATAACAAGTGAAGCTAACTGCCAAAAGTAGATGGTATTTAATGTACCGCAGTCCAAATATTACCACCCACTAAAATACGATGAAAGCTCAAATTTTTCAAATAAGTAAAATATTCTATGAGCTTAAACTTATCAATGAATATCATAAAATTACTCATGGCTAATCTCAGAATGAATAGTTGTTTATTTACTTCTTATTTACTCCATATTAGCAACTGAGAAGAAAGTTAGTGACCTTCAGGTCATTTGTCAAAAAACTAAATTCATACAATTTCACATACTCTATCTCTGAGCTCATTTTCAGAGGTTATCATTCGATTTCCTGACTACTATACAAAATGAATGTTTTAAAAACCTAGAAAGACAATTTAAAAGCCTTTTTTTCAAAACACTCTATACACTTCATAAGTTGAATATCCAACTAAGGAACAATTTTATTGAGGAAATAAACATTTTCATTACTGGTAAAACTGTTGATATATAAATTATCAAATAGATACACCAGTCACTAGATTCAGTTTATGACTTTATTAGGATTGAAGTTAACAGATACCTAATAGGCATATTTAATAGACTATTTACTGATGAAGTGGCCTAATTTGATGATGAAGCGTCCAGGAACAAACCTCAAAGCTTGAAAAGCACCAAATAATCATTAGACTTTGCTATTATTCATATTATTTTTCTTGAGCTTTCTGTTGAATTAGACGTAAAATCGAAACTTCTTAGTATTTCTTGTTTACTTTATTCAAATGATTCCTGTTATACGACTTATTTCGACGCCAGATGTTGTATAATATTTAAATGTATCGAACTGTAAGCAGCTGATGAGGAACCGGCGAAATCAAATCACACCATGTTATTCTGTTCCAGTCATTATTCCTGCTTCAGTCAATTACACAAACGGCTTTATGTCCTAGGTGATGGAGATTTTTATGTTAGGATTTTATTTCACATTGGTCATTCCACTTATTTCATTTCATTTAAGCTGAACAGTTTGGTGGAT